AGTCTACAGATACAGATAAAAACAGAATGAAGCTAGTGGGAACTTATGAACTTTAGATCAATAGCTGTGGAGCCTTCATGGGACTGGACTAGGCCCTCTGCAGAAGTGAGACAGTTGTGTAGCTTGGTCTGTTTAAGAGGCTCCTGCCAATGGGATCAGGTTCTATCCCTGGTGCATATCTGGCTTTTTGGAGCCCATTACTTCTGGTAGAACACCTTGCACAGCCTTTACGCAGCCAGGAGGGGCTTGGACTTGCCTCAGTGGAATATACCAGACTCTGCTAACTCCCCATTGGAGGCCTTACCTTTTTTGAGGGTGGGTTGGGGGGAGTTGGGGGGGCAGGAGGAGGTATGAGAGGGGGATCTGTGGTTGATATGTAAAATGAAGAAAAAATTTCTTATTAAAAAACAAAAAGACCTGAAAGGGTACTGATCTATGGTGATATTTTATTTGTATTAAAATGTTATTTGTATGTTAATAAATAAAGTTGCCCCGGGGGGGGGGGGGTCAGAGCTATTAGCAAGCCATAGGAAAGCAGGGCAGTGGTGGTGTACTCTTGTAATCCCAGCACTTTGTAGGCAGAGCTGGGTAAGTCTCTGTGTGTTCAGGGATACAGCCATTATTGGATACACATGCCTTTAATCTCAATACCAATCATGGAAAACCTGGAGGCCTATACAGACAGGCCGTGAGGAGGCGGTCATGTGGTTGGGTTTACAACCAATGAGAAGGCAGGACAGGAACTCTATATAAAGACTTTAACACAGGGGTAGCTCTGGTTCGGAGAGGTAGGACCACCGCAGGAGGAAGGGTAAGGTTTTAGCTCTTAGCTCTGACCTCTTGGCTTTCTTCTTTGCATTGGTTCTGTGTTTCTTATTTAATAAGAAGGTTGTTTACATCTACACTGATCCCTCATAGTCTGCAGAGAATAAGAATTCAGCTAGCTGTACTAGAATAAGGAGAAGCAAGCCTTCAAAAACCTGCATTAGCCTAAGGCTAGGATTTCTACAATAACAAAGATATTCACTTTCATTGTTCTTGGTAAGGAATAGACACTAACAGAAGTTACAGAAGTGGTAGAATGAAAAGACAAATAGGAGAGAACCCAGTGGGGCAGGCAATGTGACCACAAAGGACTTTAGGCTGATTTCCCGAAAGTAACCCATGGGAATTTCAGCCAACAATGTATGGAGCTTGAGAAAAGCAAGAAGAAGGTGAAATATTAGCAAAAGCATGTAAAGAAACAACTAATCCTCTAATATGTATATCTCGAGGCTACTGGGATCCAAAGAAGTTAAATCTACATCAGACTTGGCATTCCCAGGTCTGTCAGACTCCTCAAACACACTGGAGCTCCTACCTGAACTAAGCTGAAGAAATCCTGCAAAGCTGTGTTCACCAAAAAGCTTATGGAGTAAAGGATTTAGATCAATGGAGTATGGAATCAAGGATCACCTACACAGTGGGATACTACCATCCCCAGCTTCTCCCCTGACATTCAGATTTCTTTACCTAGGTAGCCCATTTTTCTTTCCAAATAATAAATACAAAGGAAAAAGAATGTCTTATAAAGCAGTTGTTTTTAGGGATCATTGACAGGGAATCCTTCAGAAGAGAAATAAAGGAAACTGGAATATTGTTTACTTCCTTGCAAACACGCATGGAGGAAGGCAAAGGCAAAGCACAGGGAGACTATTTCACCAGATAAACAAGTTGTTAGACGTCACTATGCCACTCTTCATGTTTACCTCACAGTCAAGAAAAACCAAGAAATCAGAAAAGGCTCCATGCAACAGTGTATCTTTTGGAAGCCAGTGAGTTGAATGATTTTATAAGCTCACGTGAAAATCTGAGATGGAAAAAGATCATGAGAGGTAGAAGTAGAATGTAGACCTTCTGTGGGGATTTTGTAGCATGAAGATGTGCTGCCTTCAGAAGCTGTGCTCCACAGTCAATAGTAAATACACCTATCTATCATGGTTGAGTAAGTTAGACTTCCCTAGGTAATAAAAATAATGTATTTAATCCATTAGTTCAATATTTATGGTCTTCATCTTAAAGTTGTCTTTCCTGAATTTGAGAGCACCTTCCCCATCATGCAATTTTATAAATTTGACGTATGCTTACAAAGCTTATTTGAGGAACACCAACAACAGCAGTAGTGAAAACCTTGGCACAAGTTATTTTAAGAACTCTTGTGTTCTTTCACATAAATCTTGAAGAGAAACTTGGATTAAAGCAACATTTCAGGATATTTGAGAAAATAAATCACCTGAAATAGAGGAGCAAGGGGGACTGTGCCACTTGTTTGGGATAAAGCACTTTAGGGGTACAGTTATTGGATTTTCCTGGATGGTTGTGCTCTTCTGAAGACAACAATACTGGTGCCCGAGAGCTTTAGAGGGTAGAATATGACTCCATATTTGCTAGTCACAAGGATTATACAGGGCAGGGTCAGCAGTCGGGCGGGTATCCCCTACTGCTCAAATGTGGAGGGAAAAAGAAGTCTTCAGCAAGTGCTTTCTCTGGTGCAGACATTTATAAACACCATTTTTTCACTTCTAATGGCTTTGTCAGTGAACACCCCTAAGCGTATTTTTTAAGTAGTGGTGTGGTGGGTACAGGAGCAACACTAATTAGCTAAGTCAAAGAGCTGATAAAGAACAAAACCAGTAGAATCTGGACTTTCTTATTTTTAGCTATTTATTGCATCTCATTTATTTATTATTGCTTATTTATATGTATATATGTGTGGGTGCATGGATGTCATCATATGGAAGTTATCCAATGAGCTGTCTTGCTGAATCCAACCTGGAACTTTCTGTTTCTATGGCTATTGCTTTTATTTTCCCCCTGAAACATAGTCTAAGGAAGGGAAAAATAAGAAGTAGAAAGGAAGAAAACACAGCAAATGAAATAAAATAGTGGAGGAAAAGTTATTTTGATCTTTTCTTGAGAAAGGTGAAACAAGGTAGCATCAAGCACCTCAAAGAGGGAAGGGGACTATCATTCAGTCCTTGCTGCCAGCAGGTCCAAGTGGAAACCTCAGAGAAAGGATGTGTGTAGAGAATGGTACTGACAGCAAGGCTACATGAACTAGCAGCTGGTCCCCACAGGTCAGTGTGGAAACTCAAGATGTTTCCCTGAATTCTCAAGAGATGGGCAAACTGAGATTCAGCAACTGTCAAAATGGCTGTTCTCCTGAAACCACCTTTCTATGACAATGCCCTTCTCCTTCATCCACAGTCACATGAAAGATGGCAGAAAGATTTGCTTGAGGATTTGCCACACTGAGACCTTCAATAATCAATGCTAATTTATTTGCCTTTTTCCCCAAGGGCCTCTGACTAAGAAAGGTATGATGTTCTAGTTATTAATACATCCTGCATCTTATTGACATATAGAGCCATATAACAGGTTTGGATTGCTTAGATTTTAACAGTGGTTATCAACCTGCGGGTCGTGACCCTCTTGGGGGTTAAATGACCCTTTCACAGGGGTTGCCTAAGACCATGGGAAAACACAGGCAATTACATTACAATTCATAAAAGTAGCAAAATTACAGTTATGAAGTAGCAATGAAAATAATTTTATGGTTGATGTCACCACAATATGCGGAACTGTATTAAAGGGTCACAGCATTAGGAAGGTTGAGAACCACTGGCCTTAGAAGCTAGAAAGTTTTCATTTTCCATTGGTTTCTTCCCCTCTTCTCTTTGATCTTAAAGTAGCTCAAATGAAAAATCTCCACCTTTCTCATTCAACTCTTCTTTGATAGAAAAAGAGGAGGAGCTGGGGTATATAGGCCAGATGTACTTCCTGTCTTTCTTGAGGAACAATTTATAATTAAAGCTGGGTCTTTTATTCTTTTTGTATCATTTCTTCATCACAACATTCAGTTACCCAGCCAACGCATTTTATTAAGTTTTAGTATATGTCATTTCCTGAGCTTCTGACCATAGACATTGCATCCAAAGGCTACAAGTTCATTTAACCTTTGGAAGTCAATTTTATATAATCTTTGGGGGTCAATTTCCCCTTGAAAAACTAGTGAGACTCATGATACTCCTTATCATCCAAGTACCCAAAACTTAGGCATACACAGTAGTTTATCTTCAGAGTATTCAGGGACATAGTACCAGTGTCCCCACACTCGACAGAACTCCTCATGCACACTCTGTGGCACAATGGACCAGAATATGAACCTCTATGATCAAGTTAGTTATTGTTATTGGTATTTAAGAATGAAATATCATTTCTGCTAACAAACCAACTGTAGCATAGAACTCTTATATCTCTGAAATCAAACAAAAATTGCTGTTACTGAGCTCTGTGAAGTTCCTTCCTTTCCTGGATGTACTTTGGGTCCTCAGTATTTCCAGTTTTTCTGGATAGGTTGTGAGACCTCTTTTAAGACTTCCATTTCTAGAAATTCACTATGTGCCTCCAGGCCAGTTTCTCACCCATTTCTAATATGTGGCCTCTTCTTCAGACTGCCAGATTCCCTCTTCTTCACCTCCATATTCTTATTGCTTAGTCTAGGAATAGAGCATGGTTGCCGTCACTAATATAGCAACCTTGGGCTATTTCTTTAAATCCTAATAACTGAATTGTTCCCTTTGGATAATTCAAAGACTAATAATAACACTGCATAAGTTTTGCTGATTGTTAATCATACACAATAAGCTAGATACATTCATTCCATATATAATTCTCTTTGTTGCCCTGCTCCATCCCTGCTATCTTTTTTGCAAGAGTTACAAAATCTTGAAAGGGTATTCACTTCCATTTTTATACACATATAAATTTGTATATATTTTTTAAATTTCTGGCTGCATGGCAAGGTAGTTTCTATAACTACAAATGGTAAAAAAAGAAGCCTGGAAGAGACACAACTCTGTTCACCTCTTGGTGTCTCAGACTCAGAAGGAGGTTTGGAAACAGCTCCTAGGTTTTTCGGAGATGATGGAGGCCAGCCTGGGACAGAGAGCTCAGAATACCTTTCAGCTGGGCAGGGTGGCGGCACTGAAAGGAACATCTTCTACCAAAGGTGGTGCCTTCTGGGCAGGAGAAGGAGGCAGCATAGACGTGATGGTGATCCGGGACACCGCAGTCCACTGGCTCACATGCCACCTGCTTGTTCCACTTGCCCTCCGTACATGTCACCGTGATGCTTGGTCCCACCTGAGGAGCAGAGAAAGATCCAATGACAGACAGCAGGCAGGTCCTTCTATATGAGGACATGCATGCACTTCTCCAGAAGTGACAGGTCATAGTCTTGTCTAGGAATGAGGAAACCTATTCTCAGTGTTTAACTTGAACTTATTTTTAATAACTCAACAATTACGTGGATTAAATATTTTAATCCTCATTTAATGCTGAAGAAATGGAAGTTTAGAAACATTGTATGAGCAGCCCTAGGATACCCACTAAGAGAAAAGCTAAGTGTGACTTCAACCCACATAATGTGCTCAGAACTGCAATCTGTAATGTCTTCCGAATAGGTCGTTACATCATTTTTATGGGAATCTTGTGATTCAGAGCCCTCACAGGGTGTGATTTCTTTTACAAAAAAGACTCTAACACAGGTTTAATAGAAGCACACCAGAGGCTGATCTTGATATCTTTTCTTGAAGGGATTTACTTAGAGACAGCTAAAGTGCTAAGTCAGGGAGTGCCTTTGGGTGTAGGAGCCCTGATGTCTCTCGATGGGAAGGTTCTCTCTTTTTCTTGAACTCTCCCACTGGTAAAATGAATGGATTGAACCTAGGGATTACACTCTACGCTGCTGCCTCTTCTGAGATTTAGTGGCTCCAGTGAGAAAGATTTTGAGTTATCAAGAAAAAAATACATTGAAGAACAAATGTAGGACCACTGAAAGGTCTGGCTGATTTACACCGAACTAGAAGACGGTAGGACTGTGTAGGTAGAAGGGTGAGGCTGTGCTATAGAGCCAAGAGAGGGCCTGTCATTGGCAGCCCAGAGTCTTCCATTCAAGGAGGAAGCAGCCAAACCCCCAGGGGTTGAGAGTGCCAAATGTTGATTTGGGATTTTTAAAAGCAAAGGACATTTTCCTCTCTTAAGCACACATCAAAGGGAGCAGAGGTCTCTCGCTGCCAAGGCAGCCTAATTGTTTCCATAGGAGTTCAGACCTGCCATGTCTCACACACGGAAGTCGGTGTGTAAGACAAGCCAGCCCAGAAGCTCTCCACAAATAGGCGTTCCCAGCAGTAAAGAATGTGTCCCTGTACGCTAGCAGAAAGAGGGTACAGTCTACTGGTGGGGCTGTGGAAAAGCTGCATCTAGACATTCTGGGATCCTCAAAATTTGGGGCTGCCAACTTTTCCCACTCTCTCCTGTTGGACCTGAGATTCCCAAAGCAACATTAGGCTAAAGCAACGTTTGCCATGACACTTATCTCTACTCAATGCCAATAGCTTCATGCAGGACATATCCCAATCTCCAAGGGCTCCATCTCTAACACCCCCATGGGTCTGTCTGACATCTGCCTCACTCCTTACATTCCATGCCACACCTTTGTGGGCAGCCAAATGAGGCCTTTATTTATCAGGATTTAATCATATCATGCCCTTCTACAGCTTCTTGCCGCCATAACAACTCCAAACTTCCCAACTAGACTGGCAGGACCTGGCATCTGTGGACTCAATTTGACCCTCTAGCCTCATGACTTGAGTGATTTTTAGAAACACTAGTCTTCAGATGTGGCACACTTACAGTACTAACAGCCTTTCATATATATTCCCCTGCCTGTGCAAGAGCACACTTTTCTTATTTGTTTCCTGCAGACACACTTCTGTCCATCAAACCATTTCTCAGTTCCCATATTACTTTTCCGAGGCACTTTCCTTAAGGCCCCTCCATATTTCTGCAAAACCCTCTCTGACTAGCTCTTTGCTAGTCACTAAGAAACAGTTCAGTGTTAAGGACTTTTTTTCTCTACGATCTAGCAGAGTTTCTGATTTATGATGCACTCATGCTTTGCATTGAATGAATGAATGAATGAGTTAGTGAACAAATGAAGAGACATGCAGATAGAGAGTACCCATCTACCTAAAACATCTCATTCCATTATGCAAAATTTGGAGGATCAGCATCTCATTCCAATATGTTCATCCTAGATCCTAGATCTGTAACCTGTGTTATATGATATATGCTACCTGCAATACTCCTTGGACAGAAGCCCTCTTCTTAAAGAGTCCCAGTTGATTTTTTTATTGGCTGTGTCATTGATTCATTAATTGAGGTACATATACATATATGAATGTGTGTTTATGTATACTTATATACATGCATATATGTATATATACATATGTATATATATACACACACATATATACATATATATGAGAAAGAGCTGGAGAGAGGAGAAGAGAGAGGGAGAGAAAGAGAGACTTTTTTATTCATTTGTCTTCTGTAGCATCAGTATTTTGTGTGCTGAGAATTCTGCAGAGAACCCATTCCACATCCACCAGCCTTCCCTGACTGGAAAAGGGCTCTCCAGTCTGCATCCACAAACCTGGCTCTTGATCAACTCATCATCCCGCTGTATCTGCAGCACATAACCTGTCTGGCAGCTCACAGTGCACTGGGCACCATGGTAGCGGTGGCTGCTGGAACAGTTGAGAGAAGCATTCTCCACAGCCAGTTCTGGACAGTCCGTGGCTTCACAGGCGAAATGCACACAGCTGGGGAGGAAGAAATAAGAAGGTGAAGAAAGGTTTCCTCACAAGACAATCTTACTCCAGCTAGAAGGCCAAGACTAGGCCTCTCCCTAAAGTTTCAGGAGGCAAAAATTGAGGAGAGTGAAGAGCACCGAGTCAGGCAAAGAAGATTCTGCAGGCCACTGTTACAGATTATTAAGAATACAGGGAATGGGGGCTGACAATTCTGGACTCAAATCCTGTCACTTGAACACTTCTGTGAATACTGACTTCCAAGAGCCGTGGGGGGGATTAGATCAGTTGACTCATGATATGCAAATAGCCAAGTTCCCAGCACATTCTAAGCTTCAACAATCAGTAGCTAATGTTATAAAGACACCTGCTGTATTTATTACCTAGAAGTTGTGTGACTTGGGCAAACGAGTTATTATGGGAGCCTCAGTGGACCTTCAGATTCACCCCCCTCACAAAGCCAGGACTCTGTGGCAGTGACAGGGGTTGTCTTTCAGAACTATAATGTAACTCACAAATCCTTAGGAAAAATGAACAGAGCTCATGCCTTATGCCTTTCCTTGGTGGATTTTTCACTTTCTGGCCAATCTGAATTGTGCTCAATCTTCAAATCGGAGCTAATTCTATCAGAGGCTTTCCTTTATGTCCATAGATGAGTTCCCTCACAGACTTTCTGCCTTCCTGTCTGCCATACAGTTGCCTCGCACTCAGTGCCTTTCAAGTCCAGGGTGTAGGTGCCTACCAGGCACCCAGCTGCATGCTAATGTTTAAAGACACAAATAGAAATGACACAAAGCCCCTGTGCTTAGATGGCCTTTTCCATTGAGCTGTAGGTACACACATAGTCAGGAATAGTAGTGAAGAATCACTGAGAGCATATCCAAGTGAGCTCACTTCATTGTCACAATAACCCTATGAGCCAAGTGTTACTCAGTTTACAGTTGGAAATTGAAGCCTGACAAGAATAAGCTACCTGTTTAAACTCCCACCCCTATGTGAGACCCAAAGGTCTTCATGGCTAACCTTATGCTATGGGTCTGGACTGGAACATGGTTATGGATGGAGACATGCCTGTTTCATTCTGACATTATGAATAAAAATGGCTTGCACCCAGATGTCAACTTAATAGGGAGAAATAACTGGCAGTAGCACCTTTCAATGGCTTGTAAAAATTTTGTAGTAGTTGAAATATGGTTTTGGCAGCAAAACCCACTGGGCAAAAGCTTTTTCTATCTAGGTCTACCCTAGCCTTGTCTACAGGGTTCCCAACTGGCTAGGTTTGCATCCAGAACCCCACGTCTTTGGCTTTCCTGTTCTTTGTTTTTGTTTTTGTTTTTGTTTTTGTTTTGTGGTAAGGGTGGGGGTCAAGACAGGGTCTCCCTGTGTAGCTCTGGCTGTCCTGGAGCTTACTATGTACACAAACCTGGCCTCAAACTTGCAGAGATACACCTCCTGCTGCCTCCCAAGTGCTGGGATTAAAGGCCCGTGCCACTATGCCTAGCATTTGTTTTCCTGTTTTTATATAAGAAAAATGAAAATGTTTGAGCTGAAGCAGCTTCAGAAGAAAGATCCAAACCGTCAAGGTTCCAGCTTTTAAATTCTCATCAGTATTTTGCTTTTAAGGGGAGAATAGAGGATCTGAATACTCATCCTCTCAACTACTCAAATTGTGCAATGAGTAAGAAGGAGATTTTGAGGATGTAACTTTTAAAAGGTTGCAACCCACAGGTTGAGAACCACTGTTCTAGAACTTCTCAGAACATTCAATTTTCTGATGCACTTTGAAGATGTCCAGAATGGCCAAAAGGGGAGATCATTTTCCAAACGCTAATATCCTTTTTATTATGGGGCAGTTCTTAGGATCAGTGTCCCTTTAGCATGCACTTTGGACGTAAAACACCCTTCTCTTCTTAGCGCATCTGTCTGCATCTGGTTCATAGACTTGCCAATAAGAAGGAAAGTAAGGGGGAAATGAGGTCTGAGATGTCAGGCATTAGCCACTGATTTTCACTATAACACCATCTCAGCAACTACAGAGTGACTCCCCGAGGTAAGGATATTGTTCCCATTTGAGAATAAGAATTTGGAATTGCTTGCCCAAGGGCACCTTAGCCTGGACAGAATTCCAATGGACATCAGCTCCTATGCTCCCTAACTAAGCCCTTGTTCTTTCCAGTGCTATCCCACTGTCTAGAAAAGGTTATGTGCACACACTGTCCAAGAATGATATCTGAACCTCCCACAAATCCCCCCTCCCCATACAACTGTCATTCATTTCTAAAATACAAAACCAAGGAAAGCAAAAGGCTCTGATCTAAAGTGGGGATGGGGTAGGGGTTGGGGGTGTTAGCATTCAGACCCGCCTTGGGGACCTGGCCAATAAGCAGGCAATACCTTGGCCCACCCAGGATCCTGACAACATCATCTTATATAGCCTGTTTGCTTAGCACAGCATGCACGAAATCTCCTCATAAAAGGCAGGGCCCCACCCGCCTTCTCTCTCTTTGCCTTCTCTCTCTTTTCTTCTTCTTCCCTCCTCAGCCCCCACCTGCTCTCGACCTCTCTCTCACTGCCCCTCTCCCTCTCTCTCTTTCCCTCTCTTTCTCTTCTCCCCTCTCTCTCTCCCAAGAGGCTGCTTTGTGCCCCTTTACCTCTCCCCTCTCCCTTCTCCCTTCACCCCTAGTAAAACTCTCCAAGTGAGTGCTGTCCTGTCCGCATGGAGCATTTCTCTCTTGCCCGACATGGGGCCCCTGGATTCGACTCCAACCCACCAAAGGTCTCTCACACGCTATTTTTAAAATACAGCAGGAGGATGGGGGTTGGGAGGGGGACTCAATACTAGTGATGGGCAGTCAATAAAAAAGAAAAAAGAATAAAAGAAAATCCATCTCTGAAGGAAGGATATGGCTGGTATGGTGGCCGAAAAAGAGGAAAGGTACGAAGTTCTCACATTAAGGCAAAGGTTAAATTTTTCTTCTCTTTGAATACATGTGCCCACATGTTCCTGTGTCTATTTACTTACACCTTCAAGATCTTCATGAAGGAAGAATCTTTTGTGACTCCACGCCAATCCTTTAGCTGCCCCTCCCCCATTGATCACTGAAATGAGCATCCCACACCTAATGACTGACACCTGGGCAAATCTACCAGCCCAGAGAAAGCCAGTGTTAAAGGGCTGGAAAGGTTTTCTTCCATCTCTGCCCTTCAACTCCTGTCTTACCTCCCATGGCCTACTGCTCAGCTACAACTATGCTGTCAATTTTTTGGTGGTCACACAGACAACAAATGGCCATGTCGTCAAAGGTGGAAAATGAAAGGAAAACCTGAATACCAGCTCTTCAGGTCATTTGGGAGAGGAACAGAGAAAAGTTAGCCTCCTAGGACCTTGTTTTACTGCCCAGAAATAAGGTTAAAAGAGAAAGTGATAGTAAGACATTTTCTACCCAACACTTCATGGTGGCAGGGTATGGAGATCAGATACTGAAGAGTAAGAGGGACAAATTCAGTGACCCACAGGGTGTAGACAAATGACTGAAAGTCAAGGTGAACTGGTGGTGCCCTCCCTCTGGCCAGTGTCTGCTATGGAAGCAGCAATTCTCTTTTTTACTCTCAGACTGTTAGTAGACAGAGGCCTATGGCTTTCAGTCCTCTGACTTACTGAAATAGTTCCACATGGCCCTGAATCTGAGCTTCAAATGTTATGTGTGGATTTCTGTATATTACTTCATGGGGTATTCCACACTTGGGGTCCTAGAACTATAGACTCCGGGAGCATTTGTCTCCAGTCTGCATCCTCTTCTTCCCAACTGGAAGGAGTTCCCCCCAGCCACATGAAGAACTTGGGTCTAGCGAAGAGTCTTCTAGAAGGTAGGTATCAGCATTTCCTCTATAAGAGTGCTAGCATGTAGCAAGGGGAAGTGTTTGAGGTAGAGGAAGAGGAAAGGAAAATAAGAGATGGGAAGAAGGTAGGAGGGAGGGCCAGGAAGGAGAGAGGAAGGGGAAAAGTGGACTTAACTTAATCGTTTAAATACATAGCCTACTGAAATTTATAGTAAGTTGTTTTTTATTAAGAACCAAGGAGTGCATGGATGGCTGAGTGGCTAGTTGGCTGGCTGGTGGCTGGCTGCATGGATGGATGGATAGGCACAGGAGGAGGGAGAAAAAGGAAAAGGAGAAGGACTACACAGAGACAGGAAGACACTGGGGCCCCTTCTCGTGATGGGACCCTTCCTCCTTAAAGAAGCCGGTTAGTTCCCCCCCCTGCGCCCCCCCCCCATGGGGGAATCTCTTACTTGAAATCTGATCCTTTTGTGGGGAGAGGGCCCTGAATCCATGCCCAATACCTCCCAGGTACTAGGGACCCTTCAATCTAGGTCAGAACACACCAACTACTTTGATTTTGCTGTAGTAGTGCTGGTCCCAGGGCAGCTCACTCGATCTCACAGGACTCTCTGGAGAAGAACATGGGAGCGAGCGAGACAAGGAAGAGGTGGAGGGAGGAGAGAAGAGTGTCTGGATGGGAGGGAAAAGTGACTTTTAAGGCCAGAAACACAGCCTAAAGTAAAGCAGAAAGCTCCAACCACAGCCAACTGAAGTCTCCGCTGTAAAAAGCAAAGGCATTGGTTGACCTCTCGGATTTGCTGATTTTAAGAATGAAGAACCCCATCGCAGGCCTTTGCACACGTTGCTGCTTTTTTTCTTTTTCTTGCCTTCTGGCTTGTTTTTACTACATTTGCATGATTGCAGAGTCCTGCCTGTTTTTGTGAATGCCTCTGCAGCGCCCCAGGAACAGCTGCTGTCCTTTCCCCATGGGGGCATTCAGAAGGATCCTGCAGCTTTGCAGCCTCAGCCCTCTGGGCAGCCTGGTCCAAGTGCAGACAGAGCCCAGCAAGCCGAAGCTTCCATGGCTGCTTCTGCATGCTTTACCCAGAGGAGAAGGGTAATGCTCACAAATGACAAGTCCTGAAGATTTCTCTTTTCCCTTCATGTTTCTTGATACAGTAGGAGGCATTGCCTTTCAAGGACAAACTGCAGCGTTTCCCCTCTTCCTGCCTTCTGGTCCTTGATTCACTGGCTAGTTCTCTGAGTCATATTATCCCCAAACAGGTGTGAGAGTCAAATAAAATAATGCACTCATCACAGGCTTAACAGAAGTTTTTTCCTTCCTGCCTCTTCTTACCTTCCCTAGCTCTTGGAATCACAGGCTGTGAAACCTGGAATGGGCCACAGAAAATGTACTACTCATTAGCGTCTCTTAAAGAGAAACAGAGGCTCAGAGAAGGGGAGTGACTACAGTCTACAGTCACATGAACTAGACAGGATAATGTTTTGTCCTAGATCTGCGTCCCTCTACCACTAAAGAACTGTATAATCGTTTATCGGTTGCTGTGTTTCAGAGCTTAAACACGGTTTCCTTAGCACACAGGCGTCATTAATTAAGAGCTCCGAGAAGTCGAGAAGTCGGGACTGCCTTTGGTCAGCTTGTGGATGGTACAGATAACTAACTGGCTGAGGAAAGGAGCAGCTGCGGAAGAGATCCGATAGATTTGCATTTCCCATCACCCTTGTTGCCTGGGTTCAGAGAACTAACTCATGTTTATGGCGTCGGGGAGAGCCGGGGAGAAAGAAGTGCTGTTAGAATGAAATATGACAATGAGGGATATTTAAGGAGCTCTTCCATCGCAGTGATTGCGACACACTCTGCACAACAGAATCTGGGGACTGTGGGTGCAAAACAATGTGGATTTTGCAACCACCTTTTGTGTCCCCTGTGGGAGCAGGGGCGTGGGAAAGGCTAAGGCCCCCCTCTCGTCGCCATTCCTCGTCCCTCTCCTTACCCCCAGGTGTACAGGGCAGGGCTGAATGGTCACCCAGAGGGCTGCACTCTGCAGAACCCAATTGTGTGTGCCAATTCTCCCCCTGGATTTTATTACAGGAGTTTGAGAGACACTCAGTGATGTTGGACCATTTCCCTTTCCAGGGCCCTGGAATCCTAGATGGGAACACGGAATTTGGATATGTTGCTTGCTCTAGACTGTCTCTAAGGTTTCTTCTGCTTCTGACTTTCAAGAGCAATACACAGATTTCTCTGCACAGAGGCACCTCCATCATGGTTGGAAAGTGACTGTTAAAAGTCCTCAGTGATGCATTCATTTTGCACAATGAATAGCTTGCAAGATCATTTTCATCTACAATCTAATAGTTGACCCTCACAATCCCCCTGATGGGTAGATATCATCATCCACTTATTCCTAAATAGGAAACTGAGACTCTGAAATGGGAAGTGACTCATTGTAAGGACATGCCTCAGGGAAGCAGTAATGTGGGGATTCATCCCCAAGTTAAGAGTACTCCCAAACTCATCCTTTCAAAGAAATTCTGTCCTTTCACAGCAAGAGCTGAGTGGCGTTAACAGATGCCAGATCAAAGGCACTAATGGGATGATGTTGCGATGCAGTTAAAACACAAACTCCTCTACCACTGAGGGGAATCTCGGGGGCTAAGGCTGCCGAAGATAAGGGGGTTTCACTCATCATTAAAATTCACCGTGAACTGGAATGAAGCACACAGTAGACACATCATCCTCAGCAGAGGAGGATTATGTCACCTACCACATCTCCACCATCAAAGGAGAATATTCAAAATCAAGAGTTGATCTGACTGGCCTGTCTTTGATGGAATGGGGATGTTGCAGCCTAGTGAAGAAAGCTTCTATTTCGAGGTCACCTTATAGCCTGTTGTCAACTCAAGCAGCTGCAGGTCAGGCGAAAGGAGGGTTGCTCTCTCTCCACTGCACATCACATATTCTGTTTCCTAGTATACTCCAAAATTCAGGGACTTGCGGACCTCTCAGTCTTGAGGGCCAAGCTGACCAGAGGTCAGAGAATAGAGAAACACACCAAGTTTAACAGCAGCAGCAGTGGCCGTTCAGACTGTCTCCACTTACTACAAATGATCCAGGGTGGGGAGGCCCCAGTTGCCTTACCTCTGCTCAGCAGGGCTGTAGGTCTCTCCTCTCTGGCAGCTGCTCAGGGTGACAGGGTCAAAGTTGTCGAAGGAGCGGAGGGCCACCCCCGAGATGGCGACCAGGGGCGAACTGAAGCTCACACGTACTGCTTGGCTGTGGTAGAAGGGCTGGCTGAGGTCATGGACCACAGGGATAATCAGGGGATTGTTCCTGCAGCTCAAGACATGGAGGCCTGTCAGGGGAGACAGAGGGCCGAGGGGCCAGGCTCATTACTCAAGGCCAGTCACGCCTTCCCCAACGGGCCCTTCCCGAAGCCCCCAGACCCTTTCATGTCACGCCACAAAAGCACCATTGGGCGGCCAGTGAGGATTTTGAGTTTGATTGAAAGTTTCTTTGTCTGCCCTTTTTCTTGCTTCCAAATCTTTCCAATCCCCCTGCCTCCCTGGCCCCTAAGCTTTCCTTCACCTAATGCCCACAGTCTCTCTCCCTCCCCCAAACGGCCACCCTCAGCCAGGCATCCATAGCTCTCCCTCCCTCCCACGTTGCTTCAGAACCTGAAGTTTGAGCCTTCGATGTTCATGTTGCCTGCCTGGGCTGAGATAGAGGTAGAAGAAATAATGCATAACAGCAAGCCCCTTGCAGAGTAAAAAAGCTCACTCCCATGGCTCATCTGTAGGGCTGTGAGCCACCCTGGGCTGTAAGGACCTCTGCTCAGCCTACAAAGTTGGAAACTGGGATGCACAGACAAGCACAAAATAGTTGTAGCGCCAAGTACAAGTAGGATCCAAATTTGTCTTAGACCAGCCCTTCATGTTTTGTTGTGCCCTTCTCCCGGTTTAGGAAAATACAAATGGACTGCAGAGAGGAAGTAGTAGATTGGGCAGGTGGGATGGAGTTGCTAGGAGAAAAGCAGGCTTTGGCGTTTAGGTGCTTGCTGCGGATGGAATTCTTGCAAGGTCTTAACCCTTTATTTCTACGTGTAAAAACGGTGCGATCTCGGCCATGTGCTGGCACTTGGGAGAGTTCTCCTTGTGAGAGGAGGAAGTTCTGAGCCCATCAGGTGTCCTTTCTCTATTTTACACTCCCACTCAGTGCCATTAATCCTCTGCTCAGTATTCAGAAGGCAGAGAACAGAACGATCTGGTGGCGGGGAGACAGGGAAACATGGAAGCCTCAGATAACAGCAATGGGATCCAAGGAGCTGCTTGGCGAGCCTGACATTTCCCCTCTCTGCTCCTCAACCTTTGCAGAGCCAGGATAACTATGAAAATATTTGCTTCCAACTTGAAGAAGTTTCCCAGGAATCCAGTGAACTCCTAAGGGATTTTCTTTCTCTTACTTTTTAGTATGTTTCTCTTTTGCCTTTAGAACTACTAAATAATTAAACATGCAAACACAACAACAACAACAAAGGTCTCCTTGCTTCTTTGGCTTTCATTGGTCCCGGAAGTGACCCTTTGTCTGCTTACTTCTTAAGACTTTCAGAACAGGCTCTCCTACAAAATGATGTGCGCACAGCTTTGAAGTGCCAGCTCCAAGGCTAACCCAGAATTCCAAACATTTGCAATGAATGGCCTAAAGTTCGGGGTAAATAGCTATAAGAGTGTGTAACAATGTTCTCAATGAGAATAGGAACCTATTAGTGCCAAGTTTTACACTGGGCGTGATCAGAGTAGTGACAAGTAATGTCCCCTCTGATCATATGGCACATCTCTCAATGCAATCCAAGGACACCAGGCTTTGAGTGGAGTGTTAGGATGTCAATAAAATTGTTCACATTTCCAAATTGAATTAACAGTAAATATGGGATTGAAACTTGGAGGCTTAACCTCGAAGTCAGTGTTGTATTCTTATCAGGACACTAATGAATGTGCTCAGGTAACACAATTTTGGGAGCACAAATGTTCTTGAGCTCACAGATGGCACTAGGGAAACCAAGATCCTTTAAACACACAGGGTTGTCTTTCCAAAGAAAAAGATGTACAACCTGATTTCCACCCAGAAGTCTGGGAATGGAGGTAGCTAATGGCCTAGGTAACCTGTGTGCTATCTGTGGTGCCAGCCCATGTCTGACTCCCAAAAGCTCCCACAACCAGGACCAGAGGTGGCTAATAACCTAAATGAGCTTTGTGCTATCTTTATGACTGAGACCACACCAGATCCTCCCCTAGGCCTTCAAGATAACACATGTAGCCTATTTCTAGATCCCATCTTTGTGGAAGAAGAAACATTTAGTTTGAGAAGAGTTTCAATGTAATTATGTCTCCTTGTGTATAGGTGATAGTGTTACACCAGGAAACTTTTTCCCTCCAAATTATACTGTACTTAAATATACCTACAATAAACTGCTGGGTGTCAGATTGGAAGTTTGAACCAATATTGGCTACTGAGTCATGTTTAACTGGATTTCCTTTTTGCATGCATGAATCATTACTCTGCCAGCCCTGGTGTTTGTAGAGACTCCCACAGTTCAAGTGAACATCCCTTACACCCTTACTCCCCAGTTGGTAGGACGTGACTTCTCACTTGCTTCTCCAATCCTAAACCAGAGAGAAAGCTTTCTAGTACCTGTTCCCATATGGATATCCCCTGAAAAATGTGCCAAATACACAACCACTCTTGAGATTTGCAGAGACATCTGGTAGGCACGCTATGACCCTAAAACCTGACTTCTCACAGTGCTGGGTTGTCAAGTGTTGTGTGGTCTCCCAGTGACTTGCAATAGGTTTCAGATGTTGACATAGATGGTGGGGAAATGACCTTGCTCAGTCTCCTTCCCAGAGTCCTTTGAGGATTCTGTGGATTCCCAAGTTTAAAGGTATTGTATCAAAAGGAGCCAATGAAGATCAAATTTTGCCACTGAATCTGCATCCTCATATTTGCCAAACATGGGTTTCTCTGGGTACACCACCACAACCAAGACTCCAAGTAGAGAAGAGGCAGGAGAAAGAAAAGGGGAAGGAGGGGATCATTTTTAACGGGGGGGGGGGGGGGGCGGGGGGGGGGGCGGGGGGAGACAAAGGAGGTACCAAGGCTGAACCAAGCCCAGAAGAACATGCTTGCCTAGATCATGGCTTTGCTCTTTGGTATCAAGCAACTGCACACTGATGGTCTCCTGCTTTTGGTCCCCATAGTACGTTCCATCAGTCACCAAGTGGATAATAACAGCTGCAGCAACCATTGGCTGAGAGAAATATGTCTGGAATAGAGAAGACATAAGAGAGTCATTCATTTACTCAGCCACATGGTAGGGAAGCAATCACACTACAGTGGACCAAAGGGGAATCTTGCTCTGTTTCAACCCATTCTCTCAATGGGAAGGAAGAGGCAGAAGATCCCAGTGGGGAGCCCAAGTCAGAAACCTTGTTTCAGACTCAGCTCTGCTCCTGCCTTTCTGTCTGGTGCTGGTAGATGTCTGGAACATTGTGAGCCTAACTTCATTTCTAATAGCTGATTAAAGAAAATAGCTCATAGGGTCACTGGGAAGTTCTAACAAGACAAAGGAAATATAGTGTCTAGCACAGACATAGTACATAGTGAAACTACACACACACAAAAAAAAACACATTGTAGGTTTATTACCCATCGCTTAAAAACATTATCCTCTCTACTCAGTTCCAACACGATAAAGCCAAATAAGGCCTGGTCCTAGAACTCCTGTGAACCATGGAGCTCAGAGTATGTCAGTGACACATAAATAAAAATGAATACAATGCACAGTCTGTAGACAAGAAGATGAAGCCACACATAGATGTGAAACACCATGTGAAAGTTGCTCTCCAGAGGGAGACCAAACACATACAGAGTTAAAAAGACGCAAACGTTCATTTCTTTCTGTGTGGATCAGTATGGACTCCATGGAGGGAAAGATTATTTTTTTAAAGCTTTGAATAATCAATAACAAGCAGATTTCAAATTCTTTGCAATATAAGCCTGGGATGGGGGATTCCATGCGCAATTGGGGCGTTCAATTTTAGAAAGCATCCCATGAGTAAGTTTCTGTTTCCTGTCCTTCCAAATTGGCAGTCTTGGAGGGTGGAAAGGGCATCTCAAGAAAAAGTTATCACAGTGGTCAGTACTTCCTTGAGGCCAGACCTACACATCATGGCTCTCAAGATTAGGGCTTACCTGGAGCCAGAATGTGGTCTGAGGCAGCTGGTAGTATGGGTAATTAATGGTGCAAGGGTACCAAGCATGCTGGGAAATGCCTTCACTGAGATCTATCACCTTGGTTCGACACACCTGGCAAAAGATGGAGGAAAAGATAATATCTCGAGGGTCCTGAGAATTCAGTTAAAGTTAACGAACCTTCATCATCCATCTGCTTGGTTGGTAGTGGAAGAGAAAACAGGAGTGAATAGATTGAATCTGCTCCAGAAACTCACAGTCTACTGAATTACTGGTGAAGTAATTCCAATGCTGGAAAGAAAAGGATAGTTGACATATCTTGGTGAAAAAGTGACAGGGGCATTCTCAAGGGAACAAATCCCAGGGGAGGTGACATTGAATCTGGCTGGGCCTGGAAGGGCATTGCAGGCAGAGGAAACAGAAGGAAAGACTCAGAAGAAAACAGACAGAATGCCTAGGTTGTTATAGACTACCTAGCAACCAAAAAGCTCAAGGAAAGCTGCAAAAAGGAAAGCTGAGAGATGGCTCTTACTGAATCTTCAACACCATGTGGAGTACTGTAGAATGAGTCTGTAAATTATGGGCAGGTATTGAGTATGAACTCTGGCTTCTGTGCCATCAAGAAATATCAGTTTCATAACACCCTTCCTCTTTCTCTCCTTCCTCCCTCTCCCTCCATCCCACCCCCTCTCTTTCTCTCAATGATGCTAAAACTAAAGTGTTACAAGAATCAAGAAGAATTTTTATACAGTGGCAGATTTTTTTTTTTAACTTAGCAGAGTTTCTTGCATATCCAACTGTCATTCCATTTGAGTGATTTGATTCATTCAAATGCTCTTCACTGTAAAATGTCTGCTTATCAAGCACCAAGGAACAAAATGCACATAAAACTGAGGTGCAGAGGGGACATTGCATGTAAATGTGAATCACGCAGTCCCTCACATGTGTGTAACTGTAAAGTGACCAAAGCTCAATGTGGGGAAATGAAAGAACAAGGGAGCTGTTGAGATTGGTGGGATGCTTGGCAGAAGATTATTACCCTGAATCAACGCTGATCTGTGATGTGTCTCCTTTCTCAAGACTTCCGCATGAGCCCAGGCCTTCTCTTTTACACCTATGGGCCACAGTCTAAATATTTGAGAAGTAAGCTGACTTAAACAGTTCTGATGATCTGAAAAACTGTGAGAAAGGACAACGAGGCAATCTAGTCCCAACCAGACTAAACCCCACACACATAAAAAACAAAGAGCAAAATGGATAACTAGTAGCAATAAAATATGTCTAGTCCTCTAATATGTACACATAAATGTACATATGTAACTGATGCCACAAAACTATAGATAGTCTTTGTGTCCATCTCTAGGGGACATGGGGTATACATGTGAAATATTCATATGGTAGAATTACATAGAGCACAAGAATATTAAGACGAATTAACTAGACTCATGTGAGCCCACGCCAATCACAAAGGAAGACCTAGGGATGAGTTAGAAGACACCAACACGGAGCGATGGCAAAAATCAGGGAAGAAAAGAAATGATGCATAAATGACTAAGTTCATTGCAACGTATTTCTTAAAACCACACATTAAAAACTTCTGTACGTGGCCAGAGGTTTGTCTGGACCGTATATATCATGAGAAAGCATGCACTGAATTCAGAGATGCAGCTGCCTCTGGTATCAAGGAAAAGGAGAAAATGGTGTGAAACTTTCTCTGCAGTGTGTTATCTTACAGAAAGAAGAAAGAAGTGAACAAGACAAGATTCACACAATTATCATTTCAGGTAGTACATAGGCCTGTTATGTGATTCACATACTTGACAAACATCACAGCTTTGGTTTATATTATTTCATATAGTTTTATGAATTAAAAAGAAAATAAAACTCTCCAGGCTGTGCATAGAAGTATGTATACTTGCAGTCATAGCTACTTAGGAAACTGAAGTAGTAGGACCACTTGAGGCAAAGGGTTCAAAGCCAGCCTGATATAACATAGCATAGATGTTTACTGTTGAGTGACTACAATCCCAAAAAATTAGCTTATAAAGTCATGAAAAAATAGATGTAAAACTATCCATGTTAACTCCCTTTAACAATGTGTTTTAGTACAGTGGCACCAGTGAACTGGACTAAGTTGGGTTCTTTGGTAATGGCCAACCCTTCTTGTTCTGACTGTCACTAAATCCTCCTTTTAACATGCCAAGAATCCCACCTATACACCTGCTAAAATGCAAATGTTTTTCTCGATAATATCTTGAGATAGTAGTAGCTGCTAGAGGTTCTCAGAAAATGTCAAGCCTTTTTTGATTGCTCATCTCTAAATAAGACATTTTCACCACACAACCCCTAAGGCTCAGGGAGCATACAGAAGTGGGTGTAGAAAGAATGTGAGAGCCAGAAGACAGGGAGAATAGGTGCAAAATGCCATCTTCAATCATGAATTTTCAGCAGCTTTTGTACCTGCATTGGACCTGCAGATGACTAGACCCAATGACAGGCCATCATGGATGGAGGAGGAGCTTGTCAGCCCTTACTGCTCTTTGATGAACTATTGGCTACTGCTAAGTTCTGGGGAAAAAGTAGCCATTGCCTTCAGTTAGCATACCTGCTAGTGAAACCACCAGGTTCTAACTGATAGTTCAGATGCTTCAAATAGCATCTTAACTGGTTAGCCCCAGAATCACAAACCCAAAGATATGAATATGGGAAATAGACTTAAAGGAAGGAGGGAGGGTTGACAGTATCAGGACAGAGATAAGAGAGCCAGGGGTTAAAAGTTATTAGAATATATTATATACATGAATAAAATTATCAAGGAACAATATAAAGAAATAAAAGAAAGAAATTTAGAAAGAAAATGTCAAGTCTCTGTTTACAAAAATGATACACTAAACAATGTTCAGACAAAACACATCTTGCATTATGATTGACAGTGGCAAATAAATTCTTGGAGTAAGTTCACATTTGAGGTTGCAAAGAAAATACAGAAAGCCACTTATATTCTGCAGTCAGCTTCCCTTCATGTTACTACCTCCATCAATTCATTCTTGAACTCTCAGAGGAAGATAAACCACTTATACAACATTAAGAAACATCCAATATCACCCAGAGAGTTCAGTAGTTGGCTTTAGACTAAGTAGAGCTACTTCTAGTGCATGTTGGCTCAAAAACAGAGGTAGAATTAGAAATAGGTCCTGCCTCTTTGGACCCCAGTGGATCTTGTGCATTTGAATGTTGGATTAGCCATGGACACAAAGATATCTCCCTTTTATCCCCAACACCTTGTTGTTGTTGGCCTGAATGTCAGCTTAATATCAACTAAGAGAACCTTTAGTCTTCTACTACCTTATAATATTTCATCTAAGAAAATGACTTCATTGTTTTATAAATATCGAAAAGTATTAAACTCATCAACTGCCAAACTTCTCCTCTAGAATCAGTGAGACCTGGGAATGCAGGATTGGTTTCTTAAACATTACAGGGTACTTTTAGAAAGGACAAAGGTGCCAAGAATCACCTATCCTATTGTCCAGAATTGGCACAGATGCTGGGAGTAAAACATTGAACCCTTTAGGAGGCTAGCAGACATTTTTCAGCTTATTTTTCTCAAAACAACTGGGACTAGGCTTAGAGCAGGGGGTAAACTGTGTTATGACTTAGAACAGTGTGAGACTTTGCATAAACTATCTATGGCATTTAAAAGCCTGGCCAGCGATTCGCCATGTATCATTTTGGAATGCACTCTCCTTGCATTCTTAGCTGCCTGTCTCCCCACAGAGTGTGGTGGAGCATAACTATGAGCTCTGAGCTGGGGGTCTTATCTCTGCATCTAAAGCATCCATGCTTAGAGAATTGGCCAAAATGAACAAAGCCTTCTTATTACTTAAACACGATTTCCTCTTATCTTGTCAGCTCTATCAGGACTAGACAGGTTCTTAGCAGAACATGGTGTTGTTTTGTTCTCTTATTTTCCTATTTAGCTGTGTTTGTTTCAGGCTGGCTGTAATCCCAATCAGGGACAGTCAATCCAAATCAGAAATAAATAAACAAATCCAGTGGACCTTTGCCCAACACTCTCAGTTGATCCTGAAATCATTTCTGTTCCTGGGGAGGTGGAGAGAAAGGGAGACGCAAATCTTTAAGAGCCTCCTGCTTTTATGGGCATTGCATGAATTTACCTATTCAGCAGCCAAAGCTGAGGATGCAGGCGTGTCAGGCTCACCTGCTGAGCACCAGAGAGCCCTGCGGAAGCACAAGGTTGAATGCTGATGCTAGGGAAATTTTCTCTTTTATCCACACACTTTTTTGCTCCTTCCAAAGAGAGCAAGTCTAACTCCACAGAGATATACTGAACAATGAAGGTTTTATTGACTATGTTGTTGGGTACACATACATTACACACTTTCATAGACTCTTCAGCTCCCTCTACCACCCTTCTAGGCATCTCTGTTCTCACTCATCTTCACCATCCCTCTAATGTCTCCAGTATGACTGGCTCCATGTTCTTTCCAATCGTTCCCAACCTCCCTTGCCCAATCCAGTTTTCACATCTTTGAAATCTAGTGAGGAGCCATTCTGTTTTTCCTTCTAATAATCTAATCTTGCAGGGAAAACTTGGATGATTGTGGTTGTCCTTGGCTCTCACCCCAGAGACCTCAGGGAACTGACCACAGTCACACTTGCTTCTTGTCACACTAGGATGAACGGGACCTGCTGTCTTCTTTTGAATGTTTCACTATGTTGTGATAGATAGTAAGGATATTCTAGAAAAAAAAAAGCATGCAGCCTCTAGGCTTTGGGTCTCCAGAGAGAGATAAAGATGGTCTTCTCTGGAGTTCAGTTGTTCTGTAGTTCCTATTCCTATGTTCACTCAAGCATTATTACCAATGGAAAAAAATGTCATAACAACTTATTTGTCTATAAACAGGTGGATAAAAAAATGTTGTGGTACATACACGTAATGCAATGTTATTCACCTTTAAAAGAGGAGAAAACCCTGCCACCTTCAATAAAAGTGAACCATGAGGACATTCTACTTAGTGAAATAAGCCTGTTACAGTAGTGGCATGACAATTATGGGGGTAATCAACCACTTCATGAATGAATTCGATGCC